CCAGCCACTCCCGCGCCGGCGGGGCGCGGCGGCGCAAGACGGCCTCGGCCTCGGCATCCGCGACGGCCGGGATCGGCGCGGGGCCTCGATGAGGCGCGCGCGGCGCAGCCGCGGCGCCGGGCTGCTGCCCAGCATGCACCTCGCTGGCCGCCCCTGCCGCCGCCGCCAAGGGCGGGCTGATTGGGAACCGCAGGGACAGCTCGGCCTCACGGTGCTCCGCGGCTCCTGGCAGGGGGGCGGGCTCCCGGCCAGGGGCCTCGGCCGGCCAGCCGACCAACCGGACCGGCGAGGGCGAGGAAAACACTTCCACAGGCGCCTGCGGGAGAGAGCGCGGCACGGCGTATCGAGAAAAGTGGGAGGCGTGCCAAACTGACGGGGACACGGGCGCCCGCCGGCGGACGCCTGACGGAGGAGTTCAGGCGGCCGGTGCATGCATGCACAGCTGGCCGCAGCTCCTGCACACCGCCCAGGGCCGGCTACAAACGCCAGGTGCGGCCGCTCAAAACGCCACGCGCGGCCCCTGCGCGCCTGTTCCCAGCCGTCGGGGCTGACCCGCCCCTCCAGTATCACATCATACGTCGTCTCAGCCCCGCTGGGGTCAGGCAGCTCCTGGCGGCGCCGAGAAGAGAGAGGCGGGCGCGCACGCGAGTTGTGGACCCGTGACATATGCAGGCAAGATCCATGTGACGGGCGACCAGGCTAGACACGGGGCTGTGCTATTACCGCTGCTGCTGCAAGTGCTTTGCAACTGCAGGCGCACCTCGCCCGCGCCCTCCACGACAACTTCCCCATCACGTGCCATGACATCCCAACCTGCATGTTGACGTGGTTGATGTGTGAAGAAGGGGCGGTGATTGCAGGGTGGCTTGCATCATGTGCGACAGCCGCCGGGCGGCCATGTCGCTCAAGGCCCTGTCTCAGCAGCTGGTCCTGCCAGCAGGTGAATGGGCAACTACTAGATCTAGCCAGTGTCTTGTGTGCTCTGCAACTATCCAGAGTTCTGCACTCTCCCAGACCCTTATGCCTGCACATCAACGACCAATACGAGCGCACAAACACATGCTTACGCATGCACATTGTGCGTGCACCCCCGTGGGCACACGCCTGCATGCGCCACACACACACACACACACACACACACACACACACACACACACACACACACACACACACACACACACAACCACACACACACACACA